ATGTCAGGTAAGGGGTAGTATACTGACATAGCTGGGGTATACAGAGAGAATGTCAGGTAAGGGGTAGTATACTGACATAGCTGGGGTATACAGAGAGAATGTCAGGTAAGGGATAATAGACTGACATAGCTGGGGTATACAGAGATAATGTCAGGTAAGGGATAATAGACTGCCATAACTGGGGTATACAGAGAGAATGTCAGGTAAGGGGTAGTATACTGACATAGCTGGAGTATACAGAGAGAATGTCAGGTAAGGGATAATAGACTGACATAGCTGGGGTATACAGAGAGAATGTCAGGTAAGGGATAGTAGACTGACATAGCTGGGGTATACAGAGAGAATGTCAGGTAAGGGGTAGTATACTGACATAGCTGGGGTATACAGAGAGAATGTCAGGTAAGGGGTAATTTAATGACATAGCTGGGGTATACAGAGAGAATGTCAGGTAAGGGATAGTATACTGACATAGCTGGAGTAAACAGAGAGAATGTCAGGTAAGGGGTAGTATACTGACATAGCTGGGGTAAACAGAGAGAATGTCAGGTAAGGGATAGTAGACTGACATAGCTAGAGTATACAGAGAGAATGTCAGGTAAGGGATAGTAGACTGACATAGCTAGGGTATACAGAGAGAATGTCAGGTAAGGGGTAGTATACTGACATAGCTGGAGTATACAGAGAGAATGTCAGGTAAGGGATAATAGACTGACATAGCTGGAGTATACAGAGAGAATGTCAGGTAAGGGATGGTAGACTGAGATAGCTGGAGTATACAGAGAGAATGTCAGATAAGGGATATTAGACTGACATTGCTGGGGTATACAGAGAGAATGTCAGGTAAGGGATAGTAGACTGACATTGCTGGGGTATACAGAGAGAATGTCAGGTAAGGGATAAAAACGGACATAGCTGGGGTATACAGAGAGAATGTCAGGTAAGGGATAAAAACTGACATAGCTGGGGTATACAGAGAGAATGTCAGATGACAGAGAAATAAAATATGTTTACATCAGTGGGTTGAATGGTCGTAGACCACGAGTTAGACCAAGAAGAGGATGGAGAGATAATATACAGGCACACATGCAAACCAACTGGAAAGAGAGGACTAATCACAAAGATGAGTGGAGGCTGGGTGTGATATCTGCAGCAGTGAACGTCAAGAGTTCGGAATGCAGATGAAGAAGAAGAAGGAATTGTGTAAACAGTTTTGCCTAAAAATTATGTAAACAATCATCATCAAATGCTTTATAAGCCAGCGTAGACTCTAATGCGTCTACACAGATCTCAGTATTTAGTGTTGGGGATCAGTTCCACTGATGATATTCCTCCATGCCACTGTCTGAAGCCAGCCACCATCATTTCTCTTGGTCTGACATAGCCTCTTTTACCAGTGATCTTTCTAGTCGTCACGATATTTTCCAGTACACATTTTTAGTCACATGACCAAGGAACTATTTTTGTGTATCCTTTTCATTGTTGAATATAATATTATACTTTCAGCAACCATTTCCAGGCAACCACTATTAGCTTTTCTAGCAGTCCAATGTATTCGCAGCCTTCTTTTCGAGAACCATTTCTCAGCTGCTTCCAAACTCTTCTTAAATTATGTTAACAATATCACCTAGAATTATGTAAAATATTTTATCTAAGAGTTATTTATACTGCCGTAAAACTTCAGGTCAACAATTCGAATAATTTATCTCAGGATTACATTAGTTTTATATTAATTGAAAACACAAACTAAATATGTTGACACTTGTAATATTGAAATCAATACATTCGGAAAGATAACAGTTCCATTTAAGAGTTGTATATTGCTTTTCCAAGATTGATACCGGGGGCCACACGTTTTAGGGAATAAGAATAGATCCACTGCCTTCTAACATAGACCCACTGCCTTCTAACATAGACCCACTGCCTTCTAACATAGACCCACTACCTTCTAACATAGACCCACTAACTTTTAACATAGACCCACTGCCTTCTAACATAGACCCACTACCTTCTAGCATAGACTCACTGCCTTCTAACATAGACCCACTGCCTTCTAACATAGACCCACTGCCTTCTAACATAGACCCACTACCCCATCTAACATAGACCCACTGCCTTCTAACACATACCCACTACCTTCTAACATAGACCCACTACCCCTTCTAACATAGACCAACTGCCTTCTAACATAGACCCACTACCTTCTAACATAGACCCACTGCCTTCTAACATAGACCCACTACCTTCTAACATAGACCCACTGCCTTCTAACATAGACCCACTACTTTCTAACATAGACTCACTGCCTTCTAACATAGACCCACTACCTTCCAACATAGACTCACTACCTTCTAACATAGACCCACTACCTGCTAACATAGACGCACTGCCTTCTAACATAGACCCACTACCTTCTAACAAAGACCCACTACCTTCTAACATAGACCCACTGCCTTCTAACATAGACCCACTGCCTTCTAACATTGACCCACTGCCTTCTAACATTGACCCACTGCCTTCTAACATTGAACCACTGCCTTCTAGCATAGACCCACTGCCTTCTAGCATAGACCCACTGCCTTCTAGCATAGACCCACTGCCTTCTAACATAGACCCACTGCCTTCTAACATAGACCCACTGCCTTCTAACATTGACCCACTGCCTTCTAACATAGACCCACTGCCTTCTAACATTGACCCACTGCCTTCTAACATTGACCCACTGCCTTCTAGCATAGACCCACTGCCTTATAACATAGACCCACTGCCTTCTATCATAGACCTACTGCCTTCTAACATAGACCCACTGCCTTCTAACTTGACCCACTGCCTTCTAGCATAGACCCACTGCCTTCTAGCATAGACTCACTGCCTTATAACATAGACCCACTGCCTTCTAGCATAGACCTACTGCCTTCTAACATAGACCCACTGCCTTCTAATATAGACCCACTGCCTTCTAACATATACCCACTGCGTTCTAGCATAGACCCACTGCCTTCTAACATAGACCCACTGCCTTCTAACATTGGCCCACTGCCTTCTAGCATAGACCCACTGCCTTCTAACATAGACCCACTGCCTTCTAGCATAGAACCACTGCCTTCTAGCATACAACCACTGCCTTCTAGAATAGACCCACTGCCTTCCAGCATAGACCCCACTGCCTTCTAGCATAGACCCCACTGCCTTCTAACATAGACCCACTGCCTTCTAATATAGACCCACTGCCTTCTAGCATAGACCCACTGCCTTTTAGCATAGACCCACTGCCTTCTAGCATAGACCCCACTGCCTTCTAGCATAGACCCCACTGCCTTCTAGCATAGACCCACTGCCTTCTAACATAAACCCCACTGCCTTCTAACATAGTCCCACTGCCTTCTAACATAGACCCACTGCCTTCTAGCATAGACCCACTGCCTTCTAGCATAGACCCACTGCCTTCTAACATAGACCCACTGCCTTCTAACATTGACCTACTGCCTTCTAGCATAGACCCACTGCCTTCTAGCATAGACCCACTGCCTTCTAGCATAGACCCACTGCCTTCTAACATTGACCCACTGCCTTCTAGCATAGACCCACTGATTTCTAGCATAGACCCCACTGCCTTCTAGCATAGACCCCCTGCCTTCTAGCATAGACCCACTGCTTTCTAGCATAGACCCACTGCCTTCTACCATAGACCCCCTGCCTTCTAGCATAGACTCACTGCCTTCTAGCATAGACCCCCTGCCTTTTAGCATAGACCCACTGCCTTCTAACATTGACCCACTGCCTTCTAGCATAGACCCACTGCCTTCTAGCATAGACCCCCTGCTTTTTAGCATAGACCCCCTGCCTTCTAGCATAGACCCCATGCCTTCTAGCATAGACCCACTGCCTTCTAGCATAGACCCACTGCCTTCTAGCATAGACCCATTGCCTTCTAGCATAGACCCACTGCCTTCTAACATTGACCCACTGCCTTCTAGCATAGACCCACTGCTTTCTAGCATAGACCCCACTGCCTTCTAGCATAGACCCCCTGCCTTCTAGCATAGACCCACTGCTTTCTAGCATAGACCCACTGCCTTCTAGCATAGACCCCCTGCCTTCTAGCATAGAGCCACTGCCTTCTAGCATACAACCACTGCCTTCTAGCATAGACCCACTGCCTTCTAGCATAGACCCAACTGCCTTCTAGCATAGACCCCCTGCTTTCTAGCATAGACCCCCTGCCTTCTAGCATAGACCCCCTGCCTTCTAGCATAGACTCCACTGCCTTCTAGCATAGACCCCACTGCTTTCTAGGATAGACCCCACTGCCTTCTAACATTGATCCACTGCCTTCTAACATTGACCCACTGCCTTCTAACATAGACCCACTGCCTTCTAACATTGACCCACTGCCTTCTAGCATAGACCCACTGCTTTCTAGCATAGACCCCACTGCCTTCTAGCATAGACCCCCTGCCTTCTAGCATAGACCCACTGCCTTTTAGCATAGACCCACTGCCTTCTAGCATAGACCCCACTGCCTTCTAGCATAGACCCCACTGTCTTCTAGCATAGACCCACTGCCTTCTAACATAAACCCCACTGCCTTCTAGCATAGACCCCACTGCCTTCTAACATTGACCCACTGCCTTCTAATATAGACCCCACTGCCTTCTAGCATAGACCCCACTGCCTTCTAACATAGACCCACTGCCTTCTAACATAGACCCACTGCCTTCTAACATAGACCCCACTGCCTTCTAACATAGACCCACTGCCTTCTAACATAGACCCACTGCCTTCTAGCATAGACCCACTGCCTTTTAGCATAGACCCACTGCCTTCTAGCATAGACCCCACTGCCTTCTAGCATAGACCCCACTGCCTTCTAGCATAGACCCACTGTCTTCTAACATAAACCCCACTGCCTTCTAGCATAGACCCCACTGCCTTCTAACATTGACCCACTGCCTTCTAATATAGACCCCACTGCCTTCTAGCATAGACCCCACTGCCTTCTAACATAGACCCACTGCCTTCTAGCATAGACCCACTGCCTTCTAACATAGACCCCACTGCCTTCTAACATAGACCCCACTGCCTTCTAACATAGACCCACTGCCTTCTAACATAGACCCACTGCCTTCTAGCATAGACCCACTGCCTTCTTACATAGACCCCACTGCCTTCTAACATAGTCCCACTGCCTTCTAACATAGACCCACTGCCTTCTAACATAGACCCCACTGCCTTCTAACATAGACCCACTGCCTTCTAACATAGACCCACTGCCTTCTAACATAGACCCACTGCCTTCTAACATAGACCCACTGCCTTCTAACATAGACCCACTGCCTTCTAACATAGACCCACTGCCTTCTTACAAGTATGCTGTACAAATCGACTAATTAGGATTGATTACCTAGAAGTCTAGTGCTTTTGCATGAGGGGCGAGAGCCAACAGTCTGCAAACAGATAAACCAGATTTATGGACGTGTCTGCAAAACAAGAAATGGACGAATAACCAGAACTTTCACCGAAGTTTACCACGATGAACGCCAAGATGAAGAAGTGTATCTCTTTACAAAATTTGGGATCTCAGGATGTGAACAGAATAAAAGAAAATCTTCCTTTTTTTGTGTGTTTGTATGTGTATGCGTGTGCACGCGTGGTGTGTCTATATGTAAAACCTATTTGTTAAAGTCTCTATATCTAATGAATACTTACCCGTTGGCTTTTTCTTTTTATCATTTTTAGCTGTTTGAAAAATGTAAACTTTACATGATCACAAGTATAAATTTTAAATCTAAAGTGGCATTGACAAAATTCGCACTAACCGGATTTGCAAACAGATCATGATAATTCACTTTTTAAGTCAAGTAAGACAAGGAAGACGACGACGAAGAAGAAGAAGGAGGAGAAGAAGAAGAAGAAAAAGAAGAAGGAGGAGAAGAAGAAGAAAAAGAAGAAGAAGAAGAAGAAGAAGAAGAAGAAGAAGAAGAAGAAGAAGAAGAAGAAGAAGAAGAAGAAGAAGAAGAAGAAGAAGAAGAAGAAGAAGAAGAAGAAGAAGAAGAAGAAGAAGAAGAAGAAGAAGAAGAAGAAGAAGAAGAAGAAGAAGAAGAAGAAGAAGAAGAAGAAAGAGGAGGAGGAAAAGAAGAAGAAAAAGAAGAAGAATAATAAGACGAAACACAGAAAAGCTATATCTATCTAATCTATCTATCTATCTATCTATCTATCTATCTATCTATCTATCTATCTATCTATCTATCTATCTATCTATCTATCTATCTATCTATCTATCTATCTATCTATCTATCTATCTATCTATCTATCTATCTATCTATCTATCTATCTATCTATCTATCTATCTATCTATCTATCTATCTATCTATCTATCTATCTATCTATCTATCTATCTATCTATCTATCTATCTATCTATCTATCTATCTATCTATCTATCTATCTATCTATCTATCTATCTGTCTGTCTGTCTGTCTGTCTGTCTGTCTGTCTGTCTGTCTGTCTGTCTGTCTGTCTGTCTGTCTGTCTGTCTGTCTGTCTGTCTGTCTGTCTGTCTGTCTGTCTATCTATCTCTCTGTCGGTCTATCTCATCTATGTATCTAATCTATCTATCTAATCTATGTAATCTATATATATATATATATAATATATATATATATATATATATATATATATATATATATATATATATATATATATATATATATATATATATATATATATATATATATATATCTGTATGTCTGGAAATCATCAGTATCAATCGATAAGAAACTAGTCGCTTTCGAGAATAGATGCCTCCGAAAGCTATTGAATGTTCACTGGTCGGACTTTAGGTCCAATACATCTATAAGACAGGAAACAAAACAAAAATATGTGTCTGATTTTATTAGAATGCGTCGCTGGAATTACATCGGTCACGTACTCAGAATGGACATACAGAGACTTCCCCACCAAGCCTTCATATGGTCACCAGAGGGTAAAAGAAAACAGGGAAGACCAAAAGAAACTCTCCGTAGAACCATCACAAGGGAGAGCTCAACCATAGGTCTCAGTCGCACTCAAGACCTACATCAAGTGGCAACGAACCGACAGACGTGGAAAGCTATGACCTCTGCCCTATGCGCCATCTTTGGCACAAGAGGAATAACTAACTAACTAACTATGTCTGTGTCTGTCTGTCTAACTGCCAATATAGGGGTCTGCTTCTGTTTTTGCCTATTCATTTAATCACATACATTTAACTGTCACTTTGTCTGCTTTGTTTGTTCTCTCTCTGTCTTGTTTGTCTATCTCTGTGTCTACGTATTCGATACTTACATTTAGGCTTCTTGGCAGCTACGGGTTTCTTGTCTTCTGTATTGAAAACACAACATTTAGTAATCACACTTGAAATTTTTTTGCAAAGGACTGTGTGGTCTCTATGCATGGTAAGAGGTGCTAGAGGTTCCGGGTTTAATTCCCGGTAAGGGTTGGGATTATTTCACGTGGACTTCAAGTAATTCCCTCCGGTCTCTGGGTATGCATTGTTGCGCACGTAAAAAAAAAATCCCTTGGCAGTTGGAAATCGAAAAGAGTAGCCTAACGGTGCTTCTTCTTCTTCTTCACTTCCTCTTTTACCGCTATGGGTGTCGAGGGAGATATACGGTTCTGTTTCTAGCTCTGCTGGCCGCCTCGACCATAGGCACATCGTGCTGTTGTAGAGTTTCTCTGATGTTATCCTTCCATCTTTATTCTTGGTCTACCTCGTGCTCTACGTCCTTCTTCTCTTTCCATGTATGCTTTGTATGGTATGGTGCCATAAGGCATTCTCTTAAAGTGGGCAAACCATTTCACTTGCTGTCTTTGTATGTAATTTAGAATTGGTTCTGTGCCGACTTTTTCTCTCATGATCTCATTCCTGATCTTATCTCTTATGGTCACTCTTGCAGCCCTTCTCAGACATCTCATTTCCATGGTTACTAGTTTTCTTTTATGGTTTGTTATGAGTGACCATGTATGGCACTGGAAGCACAGAGTTGGAATAAATAAGCTTTGAATCAGATGTCTCTTTGTGCTGATTGGGATTGTCTTATGCTTTAAGAGGGAGCTAACTGTCCCAATACTTGGTTTGCTTTACTGCATCTAATGTTAATTTCTTCATCAAATTTTCAATGTTCAGTAAATGTAGTTCCCAGATATTTAAACTCAGATGCCTGTTTAATGCCTTTGCACTCTATTGCTATGTTTAGATCGGTCTTCTTTTTTCCTATTGACATTACTTCTGTCTTTTCAGTGTTGATTCTCATATTATTTGTTTTACATTCTTCATTCATGGATGTTAGATGTTGTTGCAATTTCATGGCTGTATCTGCTAACAAGGCCTGGTCATCTGCAAAGAGTAATTCGTTGATCTTACTAACATTTTCATTTATGGGCTTGACATTCTTGCATATACTGTCGATGTAGGTGATAAATAGCAGTGGTGATAAGACACACCCCTGTCTTACTAAAGATGTTACTGTGAATGGATGAGATGTTGCCTGATTTATTCTAACTACACTTCTACAATCCCTGTATAAACTTTTGCACACTTCGATGAGGTGTTCGCTTACTCCATATCTTGCCATTACTTTCCATAATAATTGTCTGTCGACTCTGTCAAATGCCTTCTCCTGGTCTACGCATGCCTCAAATAAGTTCTTATTGTATTCAATGTTCTTTTCTATTAACTGTTTAAGTGTGAAGATTGCATCTGTGCAGCTTCTATTTCTCCTAAATCCCATCTGTTCTTCTGCCAGCTGTGGTTCTATCACTGGTCTCAGTCTTGTTTCTATTATCTTGGCATACATTTTGCCAACATGGCTTAAAAGAGAGATGCCTCGGTATTGACCGCATTATCGTTTGCTTCCTTTGTTCTTCCACAATGTTATAACTATTGCATGTTGCCAATCAATAGGGGCAGTCTTTTGTACCCATGCTGCATTAAATATTCTGTGAAGCCATCAGATGCTGCTTTCACCTGCTGTTTGAATTATTTCTGTTGGTAATCTATCAGCTCCTGGTGCTTTATATTTGGGAGACTGCTTAATGACTTTTTCTATTTCATCCATTAGTATGTGTAGTTCTAACATTGTTGCTCTGTGCTCTTCAGTTGTTCTTTCCTGATGATCTCCTAGAGGATTAAAGAGCTCATTGAAGTATTCCCTCCAGCTTTATGCTATTTTGGGTGGATCTATCGATGGCCTTCATGTCTTATCATTTATTATTTCAGTGGGGTTGTGGCTCTCATCTCTTTTCCGCATATTTTTTAACAACATTGAAAAATTTTCTGCTGGCTGTTTTCTCATTTTTCTGCTAATGACTCACCGAAACGTTCCCAGGAAGCTTGTTTTGCTTTCTTGACACTCCTGCTGATTTCTCTCCTTTGCAGTCTATAGTCTTTCTTTGATTTTATCCACTGTTTGTATAAGTCCTTTTTTTTAAATTGCGTCTTTTACTTCTTCGCACCACCAAGGTAAATGTTTGTTTTTTCCCCGTCTGTTTCCACTCTTCCGTTTTCCAAATAATTCTTCTGCAATACTAAGCATAGTGTTTTTATATTTACTCCATTCTTCCTCAATATTGCCAACTACATGTGGAAGTTGTTTGAATGCTGTCTCTACTTTCTGTTGTAACTGTTCTTTTACTCCTTCCTGTTTCAGGTTTGCTATCTTGATGAGATCCTTGTTTTTGGTTAATTCTTTCTGTGTCTCTTTGATGTAAGATGTTTTGCTGTTAACACAACTATTTAATGGTCAGTGTCACATAGACGGGATAACGGCGGTGCCCGGGCAAAATGTGGAGTTAAAAATCTACCCAAAGTATTCCAGGATCCTCACCGGTGCTACAGAGCCCGTGCTTAGATTCTTTGGACTCAGACTTGAGTTAGAAGAAGAACGGAGCACTTATAGGTTACACCCGTGTGCTATGATGTTGATCCGTTGTTCAAAACCTCAAAATAAACAGTGACTAATAAAGCAACGTCCCTTAAGAAATTTATAAGTTGCTTTAAAACAGCGGCGGCCTCCCTGGCTTAGGCGTTGCGAGTCCGACATGTAATTCCAACAAACTGCGATCAAAACCCACTGCTGGCTGCATGGATTTTTATCATGGCACGGGGCGTCGCAGGTCGACCCAGCCTATAATATGTATCAATATGTATGTCCTGCGGAAGTCAAGACGACCGGCCTTATGCTGACCACATTAAACACCTAGTTCGGATTGGTCTGTTAAAATATGGGGGCTCTTTCCATATGCTGAATGCGCCTAAAGGCGTGAAAAGGGATCTTTACTTTACCTATAAAACAGCGGTTCTCAATCTGTGGGTTGCGACCCCTTTGAGGGTCAAACGACCCTTTCAAAGGGGCGCCTAATACTATCGGAAAACACATATTCATTGAAGTTATGAAATAACAGTGAAATTGTTTTTTTCGTTGGGGGTAATCGAAGTATGATAAACTGTATTAAAGGTTATTGACAACGATAATAATTTCGTCGTTGGGGGTAATCAAATCATGAGGAACTGTATTAAAGGTTGTTAACAACGAAAATAATTTTGTCGTTGGGGGTAATCAAAGCATAAGGAACTGTATTAAAGGTTGTTAACAACGAAAATAATTTTTTCGTTGGGGGTAATCAAAGCATGAGGAACTGTATTAAAGGTTGTTAACGAAAATAATTTTGTCGTTGGGGGTAATCAAAGCATAAGGGACTGTATTAAAGGTTAACAACGAAAATAATTTTGTCGTTGGGGTAAAGAAAGCACGAGGAACTGTATTAAAGGTTGTTAACAACGAAAATAATTTTTTCGTTGGGGTAATCAAAGCATAAGGAACTGTATTAAAGGTTGTTAACAACGAAAATAATTTTGTCGTTTGGGGTAATCAAAACATGAGGAACTGTATTAAAGGTTGTTAACAACGAAAATAATTGTGTCGTTGGGGGTAATCAAAGCATGAGGGACTGTATTAAAGGTTAACAACGAAAATAATTTTGTCGTTGGGGTAATCAAAGCATGAGGAACTGTATTAAAGGTTGTTAACAACGAAAATAATTTTGTCGTTTGGGGTAATCAAAACATGAGGAACTGTATTAAAGGTTGTTAACAACGAAAATAATTGTGTCGTTGGGGGTAATCAAAGCATGAGAAACTGTATTAAAGGTTGATGGCATTGGGAAGGTTTACAGCCACGGCTATAAAACATCTAGGGAAAACAAATAATAATATTTCCCTGGACAGGAGAACTTAAGAATACTTAATTAGTTAGTTGCCTGTCCTTTACAGGACACTGCTGCAGAACCAACACCTTGATTCTTTGGCTATTGTGGTTTTTCTAGGCAAATTTACGTCCAGTAGTTTGCCAATCCTTTCTGGACGTTCGGCTTCTCGATACAACTGTCGAAACCAAAGCATGGCGCTAGGCCTGCAGCTAGGATCGAACCCGGCACACCGGCATTACGAAGCGCGTTCGCAACTCCTAAACCACAGACGACGACTAAAAAAGAGTAAAACTGAAGTATACAAAACTGTGTATTTTACAATGCGAAGATACAAATATGATAAGACCATACACACACAAACAGACACACAAACACACACAGACACACACACACAAACAGACAACAGACACACACACACACAAACAGACACACAGACACACAAACAGACAGACACAGACACACACACACACACACACACACATATATATATATATATATATATATATATATATATATATTATATATATATATATATATATATTGAAATGATACACCGAGCCTGTTCTGTTGTATGGTAGTGAATCTTGAAATGTGAGCAAACAAATTAAGAAGAATTTGGAGGCAACTGATATGTGGTTGTTGAGAAAAATGTTGCTAATATCTTGGACTGCTAGAATAACTTACAATTATTGCCTGGAAATGGCGACTGAAAGTAGAATATTATATAGAACAATGAGAAGGAGACAAACATAGATCTTTGGTCATGTGATGAGAAAAGGAGCACTGAGAAATATCGGTACAACTGGAAATATCACTGGTAGAAGAAGCAGAGGCAGGCCAAGAGAAACGATGGTGAATGGTCTAAGACAATGCAGGAATGCCATAAGTTGAATGATCTAAGACACAAAAAGCGGAGATCTGTGGAGACACTAAAGCCTACGACAGCTGACAAGGGACTTGATGATAATGATGATGATGATGATAGTATATGTACGCATACATGGAGGACACATGATGAGGATGATGATGGTTGTAGTAGGGGTGGTGGCACCGATAATGATGATGACGATGAAACGTTTTGCCTGTGTGATGAGCAGTTTATGGTTCCCTTACCTGCCTGCCGCTTCACAAGCATCGCCAATTTGTCACCAGGTGTTATTTGATTTGACCCCGGATTGAGGCTCACAAGCGACATGTCTGGATTAACAGACCTTGCCCTGATTCGTTGCCTGTCTGGCAGGACAATGCTGCGTCTCATTGCTTCAACGGAATCCTCTGTTGTGGCTGCCATAAACGACTGACCTCTCTCTTTGATGTCTAAGAAATCTGGTGACAAAACCTAACAAAAGAGATACTTATTCTCGAAATGCAGCAAGGGAAATCAAGAACTGGGACAGCCAATGCCCTCTCCCTTTACCCCTTACAACATAAAAGAATTCCCAATCAGCACAAAGAAACATTCCATACAGAGCATATTCATTCCCATCTGATGCTACAAGTGACAGACGTGATCCTTTTCTATTTGTCTCTACTTCTGGAATGCCTCGCGGTGTCACGGGTTTTATGTTCGCTTTGTGTAAAGTACTTTTCATAGTCTCTGATATTCCTGCAGTTTCATGTTGTTAAAACATTCTCCACGCTTCCTTTCTCATAAGGTACCCCTCATTATCTTGGTTCAGATTCATGACTTCCTCCCATGTGATGTGATTGTCTATACAGATGGCTCTGTGTTTAGGGGCAGACGAAGCTCATGGGGGTTCATAGCGAAGTCGAATGGACGTCGCTTAGTGCAACAAGGCCAGGCATATGACATCACAACGTCTAGTTCGAGATTGGAGCTGGAGGCAGTCACTGCTGATTCCGCTGACCGCTGGCTTGAGAATCAGCTATACACACATGCCGTCAATGTAACTGACTCACAGAGCATGTTCAGAAAGGTGGAGACAGCATGTTCCGTGCAGGGTGGCAAGCATCACTTCAGGGGTCCCAGGTAGTCAGCATCCCTTAGATATTTTCTCCAGGTCATGTTGGTGTGTTGGGAAAGGCGGATAGACTGGCTGTTTCTGCTCCACTTGGTGGTGAACTGATGTAGGACAAGCTGGATGTGAGGACCCTCTGGGAGCGAGTGAACAGTATCGAGGCAAAGATAGATCATAACAGTCTGAAGAGAATGGCGCTGCGATGAGTTAGTTACAAGGAGATCTGGCCAGCGCTCGACACTCAGGGGAAAGGCGAGACAGATATACAATCAGACAGTTATTGGTACCATTGGAATTGGAACTCTTCGCTTGCTGCTGAAGATGGGGTCGGAGCGCTTATTGGGGTGTCCCGAGTGCTATGTTGTTCATTCCTAATCTTAGTTCGAAGCCATATACTGATGTAAAAGAAAAAGGTGCACTTCCCGCTAACAAGCATGACGTGAAAGGCAGTAACTAAAGGGTTTGATGAAATCGTATCGTTGGCTCAAAAGGCGCAGATATCGCAGCCTAGCTATAACATATTAACATATTACACAGCGTGTCAACATCCGTTCAAAGGGCGAACTCAAAAGAAACATTAGAATAAGGTGCATACAAATGTAGATTATTTACTTCTAATCATGAAATATAATACTCCTAATTCGTTTACGCCCCCCCCCCTTTCCCCATCTTTGCTTTTCTTATTCTTTCATCGTCATCATCATCATCATAAACCGCTTCTGCCTTTAAGCGGCGTGGGGAGGAATAATTTGCTATCCAGTGCCCGTTGGCTGCCACTGGCTATTGTCATGCAGTGGAGGCGTAGAGCGTCTTTAATGTTGTCGATATATATTTCCGCGGCCGTCCTCTTGCTCTTGTAGCTGATCTTCTGAGATGTAGTGCTTGTGATGGTATTTGATCTTGCTGCATTCTAACGAGATGGCCAAACCACTTGATCTGCTGTTTCTTGATGAATCTAGTACAAGGTGTCGTTCACGAACTATTAGCATACAAAATAAGACTTAAATAATAACAAAACAATACAATCTGATAGGTTATGAAAAATCACAAAAATAAATTCTGGCGGCTTCACCAAAAGATGAGCGGAGGCAAACAAACCTCTGTTATGCCCGAGCTAAAGATGGACAACGGGGTGGTGTTACAATCGGATAAAGACAAGGGCGAGGCTATCCTGCAAAGATTTCTTGTGCAGACGGAAAAGAAAGATAGGGAAGAGAGGGAACAGATGAGACAGAGTTTATATGATATCCAGATGGCTGAAATGGAGGAAGTCGATGATACAGTATACATCTCAACGGACTGCATCAGAGCAACACTGAAGACCTGTCCGGACACAGCTCCAGGGCCTGATGGCATTAGATACAGCCACTTCAAAAGCCTCGAGGCGACAGATATTGATGAACTATCCACGATTTTTAACAACACCATGAAAACGCATTATTCCTGATGACTGGCTCCACAGCTACCTCAGACCGGTTCCTAAGCCAGGAAAAGACCACACGAGAATAAATGGCTACAGAATCATCACACTCCAGAACACTGTAGGAAAACTCGTTGAAAAAATCGTTGCCAGAACGTTAACCCAAATATTGGAGTCGGGTGGCCTATTCCCCGCTACACTAGGTGGCTACCGACCAGGAAGAGATACATGGTGCAATGCTGCAGTATTTGCCTACGACACATATGAGGGTTTCCAGGAGGGAATAGAAACGGCTGCAGCCGCTATTGACTTAGAAGATGCGTACAACAGCGTCCCATACAACATGCTCATCAGACTGCTGTTGGATATGTAGATAGAAACAAATTTGGTCAACTGGATCGCAGCAGCGCTATTTGAAAGAACAGTGTCGCTTCGATGTGGTGAATGGGCATCCGAACCTCAACGCGTCCTAATGGGTCTGCCCCAGGGATCACCATTGTCGCCTGTGCTCTTCAATGTGTACACAGCAGGAGTCACTAGTGCACAACGCGTAGGCCTAGGCAGAACAATGTCGTATGCAGATGATATCCTTGTTTACCGTCGAGGTAAAAACAGGCAGGAAATTACAACCACACTACAACACGAACTAGACAGACTTAGTGAGTGTTGCCAGGAATCAAGAGCTCATGTGAACCCGTCCAAAGCCTCCTTAACATGGTTCTCTCTGAATACCCACATCGTGAGTACACCAACGCCAGTCGTAAGCATATGTGGTGTGGACATCGAGAGAACGGACACCATGAAATACCTGGGCATGACATTTGACAGATGCTTGTCATACAAATGCCACGTAGACAACGTCATACTTAGAGCCAGGAAAGGTTTGACAGCACTCAAGGTGCTAGCAGCAGCTGATATTGAACAACGTCTACTTTTCCTTCTCTATCAAGGGCTTGTGCTTAGCGTCATTGACTATGGTCTTGGCCTCCTCACTGTCAGCAAAACCCAGCTAGAAAGACTGGACCGAGTACAGAATGAGGCCATGAGACTTATACTCGGCTGTACAAAAGACACCTCCTGCAACGCCATGCGTTATATCCTGGGTCTGCCGACTATGACAAGCAGATACAAAGTGGCACAGGTCAAGGCTTACATGAGGGTATCGGCAGATGTTAACCACCCATTACACAAAGCTTTTCACGACACAAAAGGAACGCGTCTCAAAAGGGGCCGCTCTTGGATGGCAAAAGCTGAGGACTTAATCCAGCAGGTATGTGACCTAGACGTGATCAGCCACGGAAAAGAATGGACGAATACACCAGTAGACATGCATGGCATCTCTAAGGTTGTCATCACACTCGGAAGGTACTGCAGGGATCAAATTCCTGCGGCGGTAGACACAGAAGTAAGGGAACTGATAGATCAGCATTCAGACTCAGAAGATACCATCATCTACACAGATGGATCCGTGTAGCGCGGATCAAGGTCAGCATGGGCATACACAGCGCAAAGAAAGGGGAAAACAATACATGAGGACAGCGGCGCTTACCAGACAACCACGTCAAGCATGACAATGGAAATAGCCGCTGCTTCTAGAGCTTTAGCATGGGTATCCGAGCAAACCGCCACACAGGTAGTAATTGTCTCAGACTCAATGAATATGCTTCAGAAGATAGCAACAGGCAGTATGCGCTCTGAATGGATAGAAAGCATCAGGAAATCGCACTTAACCTCCGTAACCTGGATCTACACACCGGGTCATGCGGGCGTGAAGGGAAATGAGCGAGCAGACCAACTGGCCAGCACTGCACTAATGATTGCGGGAAAAAGTATGGACAGAGCAGACATAGTCAACGCTGTACGAACTGGGATTGCGTGACATGGGAGTTAAGCATGGTGATGCACGTCTTTGCCGTCTTCGAGGCCGAGAAAGGAGACAATATAACCAGCTTCTCATGGGGACTTCTTCTTCTTCTTCTTGTTCACCGGCTGTGAATTCCGGCGGTAAGTCACGGTAGTTCGTCCAAAATGGACTTTTGGCTTTTACCTTGACCTGAGTTTTGCGTGTACATCCGTTTTACTGGCTTATTTGTTTGCAGTACTTGTTCCCCGCCTCTCCGGCAGATGTACTCCGACTTCGGAGGAATCATGGGGACAATTAGTAGAAGTACTTTAGAGTGGCTGCTGCTTCGGAGAACTGAGCACGCATGGGTATGCCCAATGTGCAGTGACATTAATTGTGATAACAGAACATGAAATAACATCTTAGTAGGGAGTCGGCAGTACGAAACCCAAGTTCAAGGTGTCTCCTTCGTGCCAAAGAACTGCATGGCTGTTGGGTGAACAGTCGTTAACGATGGCAGGCAGGTCGTTGTAGGGGCGACGCCTGCTGGTGGATGTAATGTCCTAAGTCATTTCCCCAGCTAAAAATGAGGGTACTGCTGGGGTGACAATTTATTAACCCTCATATTATTCTTCCGGTCAAAATGGACGCTAGGTACGGCCATCCTTTTTTTTTTTTTTTAAAGCCGTGGCAAATATTTTGTTTTTTTTTTTGCCAGACGGTGGCCGTTGCATTTTTGCTCCATTTGTAGACTGGAAGGATGTAGTTTCGTCGCCCAGCTTCTGAGTTGAGTGCATGGCGTGACACTGTGAGCTGCGTTTGTTTTTCGTTGGCACAGGAGCGGAGCATATGTGGGGTGACCCGTTTGCTATGAAGCTGAAACTAGGATTACCAGATTACCAGATTACAATCTGTAAAAAGAAATAGCGGATGAGTAAGGAAAGATAAAATCTGAAATGAAGAAGCTAGAAGAATAATAGGACTAGAAGTTCATCTTATAATTAATAAAAGAACAG